AGGAAAACTGGACGCAAACCCAGACCGGGCAGCCCGAGGCCTGCGGCCGACATTGAGAGCCTTCAGGAATGCCGGTCGCGGAGGCTCTGAAGACTCCCTCCCTGCTCTACAACCACTGGTTCCCTCCCTCCCTCCTGGCCCCTCTGCTTCCCCAGGTCCTTGGTTCTGATTTTAGCCCCTGCTATCCGCCAGTGCATCCCCGGGCCCTGGTCAAGTGTGTCTCCTGGATGCCCCACCTCCAAGATCTCCCTCACCTGGCTCCTTGGCCCTCAGCACCCTCTTCTCTCTCATGGCCGTCTGTCTAGGACCAGCCACATGCCCACCCCATGCAGCAGTCCCTACGCTGAGCATCGGATGCATCCTTGCAGGCACTGAGGTTCACTCCTGGAGCTTCTGCAGACTGGTGATACGTAACAGGCTTACAGAGGTCAGGTGACCAGTCTGAGAGTGATGTGTGTAACCACAGCCCGACTCCAGCTTCCTGCCCCTGGCAGGGACTGCCCCCACCACACCTCCGCGGACCACCTTTCTCAGATCCGGCCGTCACTGACTGGGGACCTGCGTGTGGCATCCTGAGTCTGTAAATGCAGTGGAGGGGTCCGGCCCTCACCTCTGTGGTTGGATGTTAAGGGTGCCAAGTGCAGAGCACTGTGCAGAAGTGAGGGGTGCCCTCACTCCCCGGAGCCTGGCCCCAGCTCAGCTCTGCCTGGATTTCACTTCCTTGAACTTATATTTAAACAGGGGTTAGGAGAGCACCTTCCTCCTATGGTACCTTGGGAATTGACTAAAATGCCCAAGAGAAGGGCCTGTGCCATCCTGGGCACACAGCAAAGGCTTACTTAGAAAGTGGGGGCAGTGACTCCTGTTTTAGTCCTAGTAGAAAGTGTCACTATATCCCGTCTCCGACTGTGCACGGCTCATAGCATGTGTCTCCACGCATCCTGTGACCCCACAGGAAGGACACTGCTGAGTGTCCTTGCCTCCTCCCCACCCCTCTCTCCTCCAGAGGTGTTCCCCGACTTCCCCGCACCCTCCCACCCCGGCAGTCCCCCAGCCCGGGCTCACGCGGAGGTGATGGCTCTGTACCGCTCCAGGCCGGCCGTGTCCCAAATCTGAGCCTTGACAGCAGCAGTGCCCAGCATGACAGTGCGGGTGGAGAACTCAACCCCGATGGTGGTGCGGCTATCGTGGCTGAATTCATTGCGAGTGAATCGGGACAGCAGGTTGGTCTTCCCCACTCCAGACTCACCGATCAGCACCACTGAAGGAGAGACAAGGGGTGAGCTGGGCCGAGCCCCCAAGCCTACTGAGCCTGGAGGGTCTGCTCATCTGCACAGGGGAGCTGCTCTCAGAAAACTGGGAGGGAGCAGGGGCTCCTGGCAGAGACTGGGGCCTACACCTTCCCATGCTGTGTATCCGGGGCAGAAGGGCCAAAAACGGGACTCGGCTAAGGGCCTCTCAGGGTCCCAGGCCTGGTCTGACGAGACAAGCCTGCGGCTCTGGTGATGGGTGGCGTCTGCGGGCGGAGAACTCAACCCCGATGGTGGTGCGGCTGTGGTGGGTGTTGGGGTTCAGGGGCGGTGCGGGGAGGGCAGCAGGGGTGTGAATGTGGACAGGGATGGTAGAGAGTCTGGGGGAGGGTGCACATCCCTGGAGTAGGGAATGTGAGCACTGAGTTGGGAGGACAAGTGGGAGGGGCGGTGTGTGTGCTTGTGCGGGAAGCACAGGTGGGGCTAGACGTGTGGGTGGGGAGAAAGTTCGGCAGACGGCACGTCTGGGCCAGCAGGGAGGTATGGAGGTGTGTGTGTGTGTGTGTGTGTGTAAAAAGTTAGGATCCAGCCGAAACCGGTTTGGCTCAGTGGATAGAGCGTCAGCCTGCCGACTGAAAGGTCCCGGGTTCGATTCCGGTCAAGGGCATGTACCTGGGTTGTGGGCACATCCCCAGTGGGAGATGTGCGGGAGGCGGCCGATCGATGTTTCTCTCTCATCGATGTTTCTAACTCTATCTCTCTCCCTTCCTCTCTGTAAAAAATCAATAAAATATATTTAAAAAAAAAAGTTAGGATCCAGTTGTTCCCAAGGAGGGTCAGTCTTGAATGGGGCTACATGTTAGACCCCCCGTGTGTGTCCTTCAGCAAGTTACTAACTTCTCTGACCTTCTTTTTCACACGAAAAATAGGAGTAACAATAGTACCTACCTAATGGGTTACTGTAACAAATAAATGAGATATTGCCCAAGGTCTAGTGAGTGTGCAAAACTGTTACCCTCATGACTGTTGTTGGTGGGCCAGCGTTTTTCCCTTCAGACTTTTAGGGGCAAGCATCCACCAGAAGGGCCCTGAAGAGCCTTTGAGCTGGAGGGCAGGGTCCAGGACCCAGCCTCACCCACCAGGGCGGATGTGAGCAAGGCTCACAAGTTGCACAGGCACTGAGCTAAGCATACGGAGTGAGAGGAAGCCCCCCGGAGGGTTCCAGAAGGGCATGGTAAGAGGATGTGTGTGTGTGTCTGTGTGTTCCTGTCTCTCTCCTATTGGGGACCCAGTCTACACTCATCCCCCCCAGTGAGTGGGTGCCTAGCCCTGTCCTTAGGCTCCAAAGGTGCTTAGGGCAAGGGCTTTGGAGTCGGAGGGATTGGGGTTTGTGCTGACTTTGTGACCTTTTGTTTGTTTAATCCTCACGCAAGGATACGTTTCCATTGATTCTTAGTGGAAGGGAGGGGGAGAGAGAGAGAGAGAGAAACATCAATGTGAGAGAGACATATTAATTGGTTGCCTCCTGTACATGCCCCGACCAGGGCTGGGGATCGAGTTTGCAATCGAGGTACGTGCCCTTGACTGGAATGGAACCCAGGACCCTTCAGTCCACAGGCCGACACTCTAACCACTGAGCCAAACCAGCCAGGGCACTTTGTGACCTTCTGTAAGCTCCTTGGTTCTCATCTGTTAAAGTTTAGGGAGTGCCTACTCCTACTCAGTGCCAGGCACTGTCCTAGAGCCTTTACATGTATTAACTCATCTAACCCTCACGACAGTGCCACGAAGCCAGGACCACGATTAGGATCATCGCCTTTTTACAGATGAAGGAGGCACTTGGGGGGTTAAACAGCTTGAACAAGATAACACAGCCAGTGAGGTAAGCACAGGTGTGCTGGCCAGATGTGCCCGCCAGCAAGGACTGAGCCCAGCTGCAGGCAGTGCAGTCAGCGGACAGCCTCCAGCTGCCTGCTCCTTTGGCATCTGCCTCTGGCGCAGAGCAGCCTCGCCTGGCCATGCCTCTCCTGGGCCGTCTGCATCCAGTGCCCAAACAAGGCCAGGGTATCACGGCGCTCCCCGCCGAAGGCCAAGGCTTGGCGATCCTGCCTTGCCGTTTAACTTCTCTCTCTGCCCAGTCCTCTTTCCTCCCCCTTCCTTTCAATGGTGTTGATACACAGTGAACATCTTTCAGGGCAAACTTCTTAGTGGCCGCTTCTGGAGACCCCAACCTCAGTAAGTCGTGAGTGGCAGGGCTGAGATTTGAACTCTCTGTCTGGCGCCTGACCGTTTTGCTCTCACATTGGGGGGCTGTTATGGTGATTAATAAGCTAGTGGCTGGCACGTAGGAAGGGCTAAATAAATGGTAGGTAGGGACCAGTAGTATCAGTGCCCCAAACTCTTGCTAGCTCTTGCCCGGTCTCCTCTTCCTGGGAAAGATGATCAGGTGTGGCCGCTCTGCATCAGAGGCAGATGCTAAAGGAGCAGTTGAGAGTACGGGTTCGGGTTCGCCTGTGTCCCAAGTGAGGGTGGGGCTGCAGCTGGGAGAGGTCGTGGGGTGGGGTGGCTGGACAGGGGATCATGGCTCTGCCAGTCCACCCTGCTGTGAAGGAGGTGTGGCGGTGAAGGGGATGTGGGGGCCGGGGAACAGTAAGGGGGCCAAACACAGGAGTTTAGAATAAAGAACAGGAAAGAAACGTGCACACTTCCAGGGACAGCCCAGCTGAACCCGGTGCCTGGTATTTGGGCCCCGGGGGTCTGCCTGTCAGGTGACAGACAGAAGGCTATGGCCCTAGGAGTCCTCTGAGCCCTATTGGACCCTGCTCCCAGTTCACCACATCTCCCCTGTATCTTCACCCAGCCCCAAGGCCGGAGAAACCTGTCCTCTCTCCTTCTCTGTACATCTGCCCAGAACGATGACTTTTCCCTCTTAGGTCTGCCTGTTTCTCCCTCCCTCCAGGAGGGAAGTCCTCTCAGAAGTCTGACCTCTATCTCTCATGCTGCAGCAGGTGACTATTCCTAGGAACTTGGCCTTCCATTAGGAATGGGGCAGAGGAGCCTAACTAGGCACTATGAGAGAGAGAGAGAGCAGCACCATTCATAACCGCAGAGCATTCTGGCAGCCCTAAGACTTTTGCTACAGTAACCAGACCCTCCCCCATGCTGGCAGCTTTCTTTCTTATACAAAGGAATGACCAGCCCTGGGGGGTCCTGGTAAGAGATTAAAAAAACAACAGCAACAAACGAACAGGAGGGACTGCCTCTGTGGGTCTCCTGGGTCTGTCCCAGGCTCCCTCTTTCTCTAGGAACCCCAACTTACCCTTAAAGACAAAGTTATAATCTTCCTCGGTTCCGTTCCCCATCTTGGCTCCGCATGGAGGGCGCAGGTGTCCTCAGGGGCAGAGGTGACGGGTCTATGCGTTGCCTCAACGCCCTCAGCCCTCAGCTCTTAAGAGACCTGGATCTACCCCTTCTCTCATTGGAGGTAAAGAAACTTCTGCAACCAGAGGGATTGGGGGGCAAGGCCCGGGCAGGCTCACCTCTGGCAGGTGGAGGTGCTGCAAGGAAGCTGCGGACGGAACAGGAAGAGCAGGCCGGCTGGAGACCTGGGGCCCAGGTGGGTGGAGACGCTGACGTCAGACAGGTTAGACAGGTTGGGTGTCTGCTCTCAGCCGGGCTCCCGCAATGAGGTGAGCAGGCTCCCGAGGGTGACCGTCGGGGAGGTTGGGACAGGGCCTTCAGAGAGCCAGCTGAGGACTGAGTGCATGTTGTTCGGCTCCTGGGACCTGTGGCCAAGGCAGGTCCAGCTGCCAGTGAGAACCAGTCCCTCAGGGAGCAGAAACCTACTGGGCCTTCTTCTTTTCCTTTAGAGCCTCTGGTGGGGGGGCAACTGGGGGCACCAAGGGAAAGGTTGACAGGATGGCAACGACCCTGCAGAGCTCTGGGAGTTGCCTCTTGGGTGCAGCAAGTTCTGCCCCTCCCTGATAGCCCAGGGCCTGGGAGGGGCAGCATTTCTTACTCTGGGTGGAGCTGGAACTTGCCACCTACCTACTTTCTTAGGATGGGTCCCTTCCTAGAGCACGGGGAAGCGGGCTGGCCGCTCCCTGCCCAGACCTGCTCTAAGAACACTGGGTACGGGGAGACCTGGGGCAGAAACAGCCAGACAGGGTGAGGGGTCTGATATAGGGCCAGGATCTGGAGACAAGTTTCTTCAGATCACTGCCCCGGACCTTTGGCCTCAAAACAGAGCCACCCTATCTGTAAAGGGCTTCAGGATCTGGAGGTCTGGGTGAGCGTGTGAATGTCTGAGAGAAGAACAAAGGGGTGGCCCCTCCCAACCTAAAGGGTAGAAAAGGCACCCTACCGAAGTCGGGACTGAAGGACACTGAACTCTCAGGCCCCATATTGTTTTTGTCCAACGTGACCCCCACTGTCCCCCTGCTCCTTGGAGCTCACTTCCAATCAATGTTTCTTTCTCATCGATGTCTCTCTCTCTTTCCCTTCCTCTGTCTCTAAAGTCAATAAAAACATATTTTTAAAAAAATACACATGACAGGAGTGAAATTTATTCTTGGAAAAAACAAAGTCCCACCCTCCCCCCACAGTCCAGGAAGGGTATCCCAGGGGGCCTTGTCCCTCCAAAGAGTCAACTCTCTCGTCTGGCCCCTACTTCCATCAGTGCCCATTACGATGCTGCTACTTGGGTGAGGGGCTCCTCCAGGTACTGCACCAAGGCCTGGGCCTGTGAGAGGGGGAGGAGAAATCAGTGCCACACACGGCCTGCCGTGAGAGGGATCCCAAATCCGGGTACTCCCAATGCTGAGAACCCAGCCCCTAGCCCCACGTCATGGACTGGGTGACATGGGGACATTAGGAAGGTGGTGGGGATGGGAGTGGTGATAAAGAACAGAGGCCAGGCCTGGGGTTGGAGAGGGATGGGCACATACACACCTTCGCCTTGAGCATTCCGAAGCCAACAGTCTCCTTGGCATACATACACAGCAGAAGGTTGGCCACTCGGGTGATGGCTACCCGGCCCTCCTGGAGGGGTGATATCGTAGGATGTGATATTCTGCTTGGCACCCTCAGCTCCCTCTCTCCTCAAGGAGTCCTCTTGGGAGAGACTGTATCCTCCTTCCATGCCCTGGGCACAGCCCTGGACATGGGGTCGTACACTCAGATGCCGGCCTTAGCACAGGACCTACTGACCCAGTTACCCTGGCAAACTCGGTCTCTCAGAAACTCAGATTCTCTCCCTGTAACCAGTTGGGGAAGGTGTTAGTACACGGGAAGGGGTTTGGGATCTGCAAAGGGCTATCCAAATGGGTGATGTCATTATGATGGGTTCACCCCCAAGACACTGTAAGGGGCTTGAAAGCAGTCACCCAACGTATTTTCCCTCTTTCCCCATGGTGTTGTTTTTCAAACTGTAGGTTTGACCCCAGAGTTAGATCAACTAAGAAGGGTGATCAATATTAAAAGAAAAAGGAAGCCTGGCCAGCGTGGTTCAGTGGTGGAGGGTTGACCTCTGAACCAGGAGGTCACGGTTCCATTCCTGGTCAGGGCATAGGCATCCGTTCTGGGCTTGACCCCCAGTGTGGGGCATGCAGGAGGCATCCAGTCTATGATTCTCTCTCATAATTGATGTTTCTCTCTCTCTCTCTTCCTTCCTCTCTGAATGAAATAAAGAGATATATTTTAAAAAGAAAGAAAAAGGAAAGAAGAGAAATTAAGTGCATTGCATGTAGTAAGGGAAGTACTGTTTCATGCCAACTTTTGTTTTTGTGGGCATACGAGTATGTGTGTACCAGGCTCTGCCTTAAAATGTGTTTCTTATGGCTGGGTTGTGGTCCAATGTTTAAAAGCGAGTGCCTTATAGCACCAGCTCCAGGATAGGTGCCCAGGAGGAGTCATTAGTTGAACTGAAATGCATCCTCGGTTGGGCAGTGGGTGAGAAAGAGGTAGGCAGCTGAGCTACAGTGCAAATCCTTCACTCTTGGGGCCTTTTCAATTTGGCTCAGCTCACTTTCACCAGGTAACCATTGCGTGCTGGGAATCAGGTGCTGCACCCCTGCTTCTCTGGCCTCATCTCCTAATAACCTCTCCCATTCTCATGCCACTCCACCCACATCGACCTTGTTGATCCTTCACCCGGCACCATTTTGCCTCACGGTTTTTGCACCTGCTGTTCTATCAGAAATGTTTTCCCCCAGACAGCCACATGGCTTGCCAACTTCCTTCAAATCTATGGTAAAACGTCACCTTTTCAGTGAGATTGTCCCTGGCTCATGTCCCCCTCTATCTCACTTCCTTGCTTCATTTTTCCTCCCAGAGCATTTTCAGTACCTAATGTACTGCACACTTCTTTTTAAACTTACATATTTTACAAAACATATTTACAAACTTATTTTACAAAGCGTACACATTTCACTTATTTTAAGACATGTCAAACTGGGAGCTGCCTTAGGGCTGCAGTTTTTGTCTGTCCTGTTTGCTACTTTTCCCCCAGTCCCGAGAACACTGCAGGGACCTAAATACTTGTTGACGGGACAAAAGGGATTCATAGTTTCTGTTTCCAAGAAGTTCACAACCTAATGGCCACTTCCCTTTTCTGGGCGTCAAAACCCTTCTCTGTAAAATGAAGGGATGGGACAAGGGTTCGGAGACTCTCTCGTGGTTCTGTAAGTCAATGAATCCGGGACGCCAACACTTTGTGTGCGCCTCCCTCTACAGTTCCTCTCTCCACTCTTATTTGATCTTCACCGCCACCCTGTGAGTTGGTGGTGGTGGTGGTGGTGGTGGTGGGGGGGGGGATTATTGTTTCCTCCTTAGAGTTTAGGTAAGGAAGGGAGGCTCAAAGAGGTTAAATAACTTATGCAAAGGTCCTCAGACAGTAAGTGGCTGGCTGCGACCACAACTCCAGGTAGATGCTGGACCCAGGGCTCCTCCCTCACCACTTGATGCATAAGATCCTGCCTCTTACAAAAGCTGCTGGCGCTAAATCTTAGCAATCCTCCATAGATCCCAACCATCCAGGATGGCGTACAGGTCACCCCCTGGGGATCCCCTTTGGGGACGGAGGAAGTGGCTCCTCTCTCCATACCATGCAGTCCATGAGGATGAATTTGAGATTGTCTTCATTAAATGCTTGGTTCCCGTTGCGGTCGTAAGCGGCCCAGATGTTACTGGCGATGGCTGCGGTGACCCGTGCGTCGGTGTCCCCGTAGCCAGAGTAGGCCAGCAGAGATCCCTCGTTATTCAGCAGCCTGGCGAGGGACAGGGAGGGAGAGCGACGTGCTCAGCATGGGGAGTAAAACCTCGGGTTCCCATCACAGCCCCCGCCACGGACGCCTCTAGAAAGCAAGGGTCTGGGCTGAGTGTGTCCTGGAACGTGACCCGAGCACCCAGCATGTCAATGTCCATTTCCCTGAGGGGTCCTCCATGCCAGCTGCCCTAGCTTCTGCCCTTCCCCGACATCCTTCCCCATCCCTCCCTCAGAGAGCCGCGCGCTGCCCCACTCCTGTGCTCGCCACTAGGTCCTCGGTCCACACTCACAAGGTGCTCTGGACACCTCCAGTGTTGGCTTGGCTCAGCACCTGGGTCAGAGCCTTGGGACGCAGCATGCCTGCGATTCCTAAGCCGGGACTTTTGCACCGAGACCCTCGAATTGCCTTCTGCAGGGCTCCGCCAGCCGCTTCCGGTACTGCCCTGCTCCAAAGCGCTCTGGGAATTGTAGTTCCCCGGCCTGACTTTATAGTTCTGCGTCAACCCCGCCCCGCCGCGGGGGCCACTGGAAATTGTAGTTCCTTGAGGCCTCGCGAGGCACCCTGGGAACTATAGTTCGCCTTTCCGCTGAGACCGAGCGGTTATGGGGGACGCGGGGGGAGAGGGGGAATTTGAGAGCGGGAGTGAAAGGACAGTGGCGGTATTGGAAGAACATGGAACTCCTTCGGGGAGAGAGAAGTTATCGTGTTCGCTTAGTAATCCTCGACTCAGTAATTTTTTTAAAAATCCCTATATTGGTCAGGCACACCTTTGGTTATTTTCAAAGTAATTTTCTACGTTGTGCACAATTCTGCGAGGTGGGATACGTGCTATTGAGGAAACCAAGGCTCGGGAAGGTCACGCAGGCAAAACCCTGTCTCTGGAACCGAACTTCATAGAGTTCATTCGGGCCACGACCCCGGGGAAGGAAGGCAGCCCTCGAGGGGAGGTTCGCGGTGGCCGCGCACAGGCGGAGAAGTTCAGCCTCCGGGCGGCGGAGGCCCCGGCCTAGGAAGGACTTGGGTTTCCGCGGGCGACGAGCTTCCGCCGGGAACGGAGAGGAGGAGGCCACAGAGACCCCTTTGTCCGCAGCGGGAATGACCTGCGCGGGGGCAGGGGCAGCTTCGGGACGGAGGGGACGCGGCTGGGTGCGCGCCGTCTCCGCTGGCCCCGGTCTCCCGCGGGGAGGCTGCCCCCCGGCTGAATGAGAAGCAAATCTGAAAATCCAGCTGCTTTGTAGCCAGACGTTTAAAGAGATATGGTAAAACGCGAAAGAACAGCGGGCAGATAGATAGTTGGTTGGAGGGCTGTCGTAATAATGCAATGTTGAGGATCCAGCTCTGGTCAGGGAACATACAGGAATGAGCGGCAAGAACGCATGTGGGGAAAAAGCAAAACAAAAAAAAATAAAGGGCCAATCGGTCCTCGAAAGTCTGTATTGGGAAAAAAAGGTTTTTTAAAGAAATATGGAATGAGGTTTATGGTAATG